CGAATTTCGAATTCCAGACCCAGTCTCGCCGATCATTTTTGAGACTTCCAGCACTAGTCAAACAAACGCTTCCCAAATCTCCGACTTCTGATACCATAGTCATGCTATCACCGTTATTGATTCTGTATCCGGAACTGATGCACTTTCCCAAAACATTTGATCCTTTACTGCCAGCAGCACAACCCTTAACATTTTCTTGTTGATGGCGGAAGCTATTTTCATTCAATCCCAGAAGAACAGTATCATCCTCAGTCCATCTGTTTTCATCAAGATTAATTTCCGCTTGAATTTCCTTCTGTAGTGCGGTATTTTCACAACACTGGGAGTTTTCGTTACCAATTCCAAAATCAGAGAATATATCATTATTAGCCATAGCCATAAATGCCGGTGATATATGCAAGTAGAGAAAATCCCGGGAAAGGGAGAATTCTGCAAAAGTGAAAAACAAAATGAGAAAACCAAATCAAATCCAAGAAAATTATCAAGATCGTCGCAGTACCACAACTTTGCTCACATGATCCGGCTTGCGGTGTGAAAAACGAAGAATCGTAAAATGGGAAACCCCAGTAAAGCAGGATTTCAGGTCCTTACAAAAAGAGATGACAAACAAAACGAAGTCATTATAGTGCCAAACAAATTTTTAATGAGTAATACGAGAGGAAAGAGGAGGGGGGATGAGGGGGGAAGTGGAAGAGAGCAGGGGGGGAAACAATGTTTAGTGCGTATACGTGGGGGAGTCCGGTCCATCTAAATGTCTTCTCTATCTTCTATCTCCTCACCCCATCTCCCTCTACAGCCAGACAACCTCGCTGTCATCCGTGTCATACCCCTCGCTCCCCTTCTGTTCCCCCCCCCCCCTTCCACACTACCATAACCTACTTCCTCCCCAACGTCATCCACTAACCTCCAACCAGTACAGTGTCCTCTACTTCTACTTCGTCGGCCATCAGTATCTTTCCTCCAAATAATCACGGGTATTCCTAGCTTATCAAGATTAAAAGTGTTAACTGTTTAGTGCCGGAGATAATGAACTCGAATTTGTAGAATAAATTGAGAAAGAGGAAGGTACGAGTAAATAAGTGTAGAACGCTGACTTCATGATTAACAACTTTCCTTGCGCAATAAAGCTCAACCTTTCGTCACGAAACCTACTCATTGAATATAAAAAGATTCCAAGCCAAACAACAATGAACAATTGCCGATTAGTAAATATTATTCCCTCGTAAAAACTGTAAAATTTCTAAAAAGAAAAAAAGAAAAGAAAACTAATCTAGTTATACCGTAAATCAAAAGTATAATAAATCTAGCCAGAATGTATACAAGTCTCACGATATATGAATGGCTGGATAACCTTTTAAAACGATCAACCGACTTCACCGTCAAGCCAAAATGAAAAAATGTTTTTGGAAAAGTGTAAACGAAATTCCTGAATTTGCACAGATTAAATAATTGCTTAAATCTGAACTAAATTCATATAGTGCATAAAAATACTGTACTTAATTTGGATAACTTTCACTAGTAGTAACTAGCTGAAATAGAAACATATCTATTTTATTAACCTCCCACAAGCCAAATACCGTACGAGACACAACCACCAGCTACATTAAACGGAATGATTTAGAAATGAAAGTATATCTGCTCATTAAATCCGATTTGCTGGGAGAACATCCCAGGTTACATTCCGAACCCATGATTCTGGAATCATATGTTTGAATCTTTAGTGATTAAAATCAATTATTCGACATATTAATGCACTTCGTAAAAGTAACAGTTTTCGCAATTTTGAAGGCACTGTCACTGGTAGCAGACATACGTAACACAACCATGGGATAAATGACAAAAGCAATGGACAGAAAAACGCAACAATTCACTCATATCAATTCAAAAGATAATGAATAAGCAACTGAAAAACCTTTAATTAAATCTCCCTTCCATTCTTCAAATATCATATTAAAAATAACGCGAGGTCCTGTAATTTAGAACGGCATACCAAATGAACACTTACCAGGATAACACTGTTGGTCTCTATCCGGTTCTGGTCTTATTTCAGTATCCACAGGGATCATGAAGGGAACTGTTTCACCCTGAAAACGAATAAATGGAAATTTTTTTCCTTAAAACACAATCTAAAGTGAACATCAATAATTAAAATAGACCAAAATCTGAAATCTCAAAAAAAAGGGAAAAAAATATTTTAAAAATCAAAAATGGAAAACAACCGCTGCCAAAAAATTAGCTCTTGATTACGGACCATCCTCTGATTTTCAATGTATTTTCACTTTCACTGTGCCAGCTTCAGCCCATTAGTCAAAGTTTATATATACGTCATAAAAAAGAAACATCTAAGAAATCTCGAGATTTTCTTATAACAGTACATACATTCTTATTATTAATAACAAAACGGCTACGGCCCTGCGGCTGATTGATACCAATTCGTTCTTCCACGATATTCCAAACGCCACCAAGGCCCGTGTCGTGTTTACGTTTCAAATGGAATTTCAACGTTGTTGGACTGCGGTCATTTGTTATCCACTCGCAATAACGGCATCGCACACCACTCAGTCCTTTCGTTTTCAAATCCACGAAATAATTCCACACCTTATGAACAATGATTTCTCATATCTGCATATCTTTACTGTGGCAATAGCTACTGCTGAAGCCCGATAACAAATTGCCAAAAGGTTTAAATATGCCATCAAAATATTGTGGAATGTTAGACAGCTAGGGATCGGGAACCATCATTTCCCCAGTTAACATGCAAATATTGAACTGATACTATCAGCTCGTATTATTGGCCTCTTTTCGGGAGACCCTCCGTGATCGACATCTGTGCTGAATGACCAAGCAATCTCACATACCCTAGATGAACTGCAAAAAAATGTGCAAAGAACTTGGAATCTAAAAATGTTCAAAAGAGTCATAACTAAAATGTTTACACTCGAGCTAAACCCCGGAAATCGTTTCCTTTTGAATAAACAAACCGGATTTGTCTTCTTTCTACCAGCATTTTTTGCATTGTATTGTGACGGTACTATGGGTGCAGGAATAACGATTGAGTTATATCCAGTTGATTTCGTACTAGTACCAGATATCACCGAAGATGTAGACATTTCTGTCCTTGCCCTGAAATACTGGGCACATTAAACGGTCTGTCTATAAATTTTAGACTATTTCATAATTCGCGCTCATTCTGAGCTGGAGAATTATGTTGCCATAAAGTCCCAAAACTCACGATTAAAACTCTCCCATTATCTCAAAACAATTGCACCCTTTCCAGAATGAAAAAGCACGAAACTGATTTGCTCGCTCCCTTACTAGCCAGAATAATTAGTGAGGATGACCGAAGGAATTGAAAACAGTGAGTTTCAAAGTGGCAAAAACGCCAGCGAATGAGACTCTTTAACAAGCGAATCTGACATTTGACATGGTGAAGGAGACAAAGAAGGAAGGAGGAAACGACTATCACTATCAAGAGATTCAGATATTGGTTTGGTAATTTGACATTTCAAATATACCGTTTCATAGTGTCGTCCGTTGAGTCCTCCACTTTTGTTGATTTTCGAATTGCGAAGTCTAAAAACAAATAGTAAATGTAAATGATTCAAGATGAAACGTTTGCAAACAAGAAAACGAATAAGGAAAAACAAAGTCAAAGAATAAACTATCCTGGCGTAGAGTACGTGTATTACGTGTATTAACAAGCATTAAAAAAAGTACAATTGGGATGACAACAATAAAACTCAAAATAAGAGATGCTAAATTGATTTCAGTTTTCCTCT